GATATGAAAAAATCCACTTAGGGACAGAAAGCATGTGCTCTGTCGCCCAGGCTGGAGTGCAGTGGCCGGATCTCAGCTCACTGCAAGCTCCGCCTCCCAGGTTCACGCCATTCTCCTGCCTCAGCTTCCCGTGTAGCTGGGACTACAGGCGCCCGCCACCTTATTTTCTGAGTTTTAAAAGAACAAAACAAAAAAAAACCAATTCCACTCTCTGTTGAACCAAATATTCCCCTGCTTCTGAACTCATTTTGAGGGAGATTAGAAAAGGACCTGAGATTAACAGCAACAATAACAAAAAGACTCCAGGAAACAGCTCCTTGTCATTGCTGTGCCAGGGAAGCTGTCCTTTGAAGTTCCTCCTGACAGCTTTGCTTAGGTAAGATGTTTTTCTGCCTAAGACAATGAAGCCTTCTCAGAGATCTGCTATTGGAAGAGAGAGAAACAAACTATCACACACCCGTATAGCTGCTGGTTGTTTTTAAGTTAGTTTGTTTTAAACTCTGCTTATTACCTGGATCCACATCAGAAGAACAAGGAAGAGAATGGAATTCCAAAGAACTGAAAGCCTCGCTGTTGGCTTCTTGGCTGGGTCTCTGCAGGACATAATCTCTTATGTCACACACTGATGGCAGGTCCAAAGCACTGCTCTCCTCTGACAAGCTGCCTGAAGTGGCGTCCCTGGCTGCCATAGTCCTGCCATGGAAAAAATAATTCAATACAAAAGGCACCACATAGCAGGATCCTTCATTGGAGACAGAGCTTGAAGAATTTTATTTGTTTTCCTTATTTTTATTTTTATTTTTGTAGAGATCAAGTCTCACTAAGTTGCCCAGGCTGGTCTTGAACTCCTAGGCTTAAGCAATCCTCCCACCTCACCTCCCAAAGTGATGGGATTATGGGTGTGAGCCACCATACCCACCCAAAAAATTTTAAAGGTCAAACAACAGTGAAATCAGAATGATTTACAGTAGTCCCCCCTCATGTGTGATTTTGCTCTCTGCAGTTTCAGTTAATCTCATTCAACCATAGTTCAAAAATATTACATGGAAAACTCCAGAAACAAACAATTGATAAGTTTCCAATTGTGCACCATTCTGAGTATTGTGATGAAATCGTGTGCTGTCCTATTCCGTTCCACCTGGGACATTAATTACCCCTCCGTCCAGCGTATCTGAACTATACATGCTACCTGCCCCTTAGTCATTCAGTAGCCTTCTCAGTTATGAGATTGACGGTTGTGGTATCACAGTGCTTGTGTTCAAGTAACTCTTATTTTACTTATTAATGGCCCCAAAACACAAGAGTAGTGATGCCGGCAAGTCAGATATGCCAAAGATAGGCTACAAAGTACTTTCTTTAGGCAAAAAGGTAAAATTGACTGGGCGCACTGGCTCACACCTGTAATCCCAGCACTTTGGGAGGCTGAGGCGGGTGGATCACCTGAGGTCAGGAGTTCAAGACTAGCCTAGCCAACATGACGAAAACCCGTCTCTACTAAAAATACAAAAAATTAGCCAGGCGTGGTGTTGTACGCCTGTAATTGCAGCTGCTCCAGAGGTTGAGGCAGGAGAATCGCTTGAACATGGGAGACGGAGGTTGCAGTGAACCAAGATCGTACCATTGCACTCCAGCCTGGGCAACAAGAGTGAACCTGTCTCAAAAATATTAAATAAATAAATAAATAAATAAATAAATAAATACACAAAGTTCTGTTCAACTGCCTCCATTCACTCATTCTAAGAAATGCTGTTGCTACCCAGGGATGATGAAAAAATCCACTTTAGGGACAGAAAGTCATGTAGAGGCAGCAGGATGGCAGGGAAAAAAGGGAAGGTCAAAGGAACTAAGATGTTAACTCTAGAAAGGAAAAGGATAAAGAATTATCTAATTCTTGGTCAGTGATATGGTTTGGATTTGTGTCCCTGCCCAAATGTCATGTGGAATTGTCATCCTCAGTGTTGGAAGTGGTGCCTGGTGGGAGGTGATTGGTTCATGGGGCAGTTCCTCCTAAATGATTTATAGCACCATCCCCTTGGTGCTGGGGTCTCATGAGATCTGGTTGTTTAAAAGTGTGTAGCACCTTCCCCCGCTTTCTTCCTCCCGCTTCAGCCATGAGAAGTGCCAGCTTCCCCTTCACCTTCCACTCTGATGGATGCCCAGTAGGTGCTGCTATGCTTCCTGTACAGCCTGCAGAACTGTGAGCCAATTAAACCTCTTTTCTCTATAAATTACGCAGTCTCAGGTATCTCTTTATAGCAGTGTGAGAACAAACTAACACAGTCAGGTACTAAATTAAACAGGAGACTTACTGATCCTGATTACTCTATGTCCTGAAAATCAGAAGAGAATCCCAAAGGAGTTTAAACATATTTCTCCATAGAATTCTTGAAGGCAATGACAGTTACACATCCTACCTATAGTCATCACTGAATTCATCATCATTAAAGCCTACATTTCCTTAGTACCCACAATGAGTTCTTTCTAAAAATATATATTTGGATTTTGTTGTTGTTGTTGTTTGTTTTTTGTTTTGAGACAGGGTTTCGCTCTTTCGCCTAGACTGGAGTGAAGCGGCGCGATCTCGGCTCACTGCAACCTCCACCTCCTAGGTTCAAGTGATTCTCCTGCTTCAGCCTCCTGAGTAGCTGGGCTTACAGGCGCCCACCACCACACCTGGCTAATTTTTGTATTTTCAGTAGAGACAGGGTTTCGCCATGTTGGCCAAGGTGGTCTTGAACTCCTGACCTTAGGTGATCCACCCGTCTAGCCTTCCAAAGTATTAGGATTACAGGCATGAGCCACCATGCCTGGCCATATGGATTTCTTAATATTAACGACAACAACATCGACTGAGCACCCATCGATGGCAGAAAAACCACGCTAAGTGCCTTGCAGGTTTACCTTAAGTTAAACCTGACTGGGTGGAGCAAGCATTCTGATCGCCATGTTGTTGACGACGCTGGAGCTCAGAGGGGTTAAGGAGCACACCCCAAGTCACACAGCCAGTAAGTGGCAGAGCTGAATTTCAAATCCAGGTCTGTGTGATAAACCCAGGGGATTAACCAAAACTAACAAGAAATAAATGAAAAAATAAATAAATCCAGGTCTGTGGACCTCCAGACTCAGATCAGGTAATTAATATGAAAGAGAGGGCTTTACAGTTACTAAAGACAGTCACTACCTACGTCAGGGAATTAGCATTAGCTTAAATAATAGACGTTTCGGCAATCTAGTCAGGAAACCTTGTAGAAAGGTTGTTACTTAAATCCAGAGTATACTTCACACAAGGAATGCTAAAGTCTCTATTTTTACTACTCATCACATATAACAGGCCCACATTGCTATTTTCTGAGTTTTTTGAAATCGTGTGCTGTCCTATTCCGTTCCACCTGGGACATTAATACCCCTCCGTCAGCGTATCTGAACTATACATGCTACCTGCCCTTAGTCATTCAGTAGCCTTCTCAGTTATGAGATTGACGGTTGTGGTATCACAGTGCTTGTGTTCAAGTAACTCTTATTTTACTTATTATGGCCCCAAAACACAAGAGTTAGTGATGCCGGCAAGTCGTAATGCCAAAGATAGGCCTACAAAGTACACTTTCTTATGGCAAAAGGTAAAATTGACTGGGCGCACTGGCTCACACCTGATATCCCAGCACTTTGGGAGGCTGAGGGCGGGGATCACCTGAGGTCAGGAGTTCAAGACTAGCTAGCCAACATGGTGAAACCCGTCTCTACTAAAAATACAAAAATTAGCCAGGCGTGGTGGGTCGGGCACCTGTATCGCAGCTCACTTGGGGAGTCAGAGGCAGACCGCAACT